TACGCATCGTGGTCGATGGTTGCAATAGGTTTTAGTGTGCCCATATTGCTGGCACCGAACACACTGAGGAATATTTCTCTTTTGACGCGGTTCCTCAATTTTAATGTGTGAATAATAAAGAAATTCAATACTAAAAATTTCTTCTCTAAATGTCTCTTTTGTAATGTCCACAAAGAACATAGGAAGGGGTTTTTTGAATCTAGATATGACGTTAACTACATTGGTGGCTTCGTAACCCAATTTTTTAAATTCCTCTTTAATGATATCGATTGGTGTTCCATGGTGAAGATGTTTAACAACAATCCTTGGGCATTTGTCCTGTGGAAGTTGGTAGGTATGGAAGTCGGCGCCTTTATTTCGCAGGCTAGAATTTAATTTTCGATAAACGTCAGGATTTTCTGGGTACACAGTAACACCTTTCAATGTAGACTTAGTTTTAAACATATTAGGACCCGTTTCGTTTTCTAGAAATGAGATTAATGCATGGTAATTTTCAACACCGTTTATAAAAATTGGTGGAGTTTTATTGTTTTGAGGAGCTCTTCTTACTTCTTCTGTTTGTAAATTAGTAATGTTGGTTAGAACCTGAAAACTGTTCGAGGTTGGGATAGATTCTGTCGGTCTTTTTTGAGCTCTTGGCTCGCTCGAATCTATCATAGGTCTTTTACGACCAATAACCAGTTCCCAGGAGCCGTCTTCATTGTTTATATCACTGTTTTTAAAGTTCATGTTACTTACCTCAGTTTGAGATGATTCCACCATTGTTGGCGGTGAAATCCGCTCAATCTTTGTTTGGTGTTTTGTCCTTAGCAATCTTGTCTTGATAAAACACTTTTGTTACACAAAAATTAGGTATTAACACTTAATTAACACTTTTTTGGAAGACAATACTAAATTAACCTTTCACCTTATTTAACATCAACAGCTGTTCTTCGCGACCTGGAATTAATTTATTATATTGGATTACAAGAGGTGTTAAGGCCATTGTATTATCTGTGATCCCTATTGAAGCAACAGACAAAAGTAAATATTAATTCTAAGAGAGAGACAGTATGGCGGTTAGCTTTGTAATTGGGCGGAGGTTGGAGCCCCAATTGGAGGGAACAGTGAAATATATTGGTTCCATCCCTTTGTGATCCGGGGAGGAGGGAGGGAGGGAGCTGTTTATCTCTCTCTTTACCTCTCTTTCTCCTCCCTCTGATTTATCAGAACACCTCTTTTTCACTGGAGGAATTCTCTTGGACATATCCATTTTCCTCCTTTAACCAACCTATTCATAATGCTATATTTTATTTCCAATTATTTTGTATGCTTTATGAATATTCAAGTGAACATATTTCTCGACGTTAGTTCTTGGGTACTTGATGGTTTGTTTGAACTTTTTAAAAACTTTCAAGCAAAGGAACTTCGTAAAAGAAAAATCGTATTCTTTTTAATTGTATTTATATTATTTAAAGCATAAAAATATTTTTTTTGTTTATCATAACTATGTGTTTTTTTTTTTTTGTAAAAATTCAATTCCTTTTTACTGTACTGATAAAATATCCACTTATAATTTTTTTTAACTTAAATAAATCAGCTCTCATGAAATCTCTAACAATTTTATTTAGTTAAAATATCACTTAAATATATCGCTCATTCGGACGAACAATGACATAAATTAAAGGAGAGGCGAACTAATTGGATTTATTATTATATATATATATATATATATATATATACATAAAAAAGAGGTGTTCTGATAAATCAGAGGGAGGAGAAAGAGAGACAGATACACAGCTCCCTCCCTCCCTCCTCCCCGGATCACAAAGGGATGGAACCAATATATTTCACTGTTCCCTCCAATTGGAGCTCCAACCTCCGCCCAATTACAAAGCTAACCGCCATACTGTCTCTCTCTTATATATATATATATATATATATATATATATATATATATATATATATAAGACATAGTTTTAGAAATTGATTATACCAGTGTTAAATTTTTGTATCTATTTTTAGTGATAATGGTGTGAATAAGAAAGATATTAATCTTTTAACAAATCTTTAATCCAAATTACAAAATCCTAAACACAAAATCCAAGTTGTAGCCATGGAAATATCAGAAAAAAAAACAATTAATATTATAGAGAAAACAATGCCTCATGGAGATCACGCAGCTGGTGGGAGATTACTGATTGATTTGTCACTGACTAATATGAGAAATGTAAGATGAAGTGAAACGTAAGAGGGAGCAGTGTTAGAGAACTTAACTTCCAATGCCAAAGATCCTAGGTTCGTTTCCTGGCTCATGGCATAAAAAGTATTTATTCTGTTTCATCGGCCGTAGGGTGAGGTGACCCTGGGATAAGGAGACCCTCTTGGGGCACACCCAACCCTCTACAAAGTGGGTACCCTCAAGTAAAATATTAACTAACGGGGAAACCTGGCGGTTGAGCATGATTCTGCCCCGATCTCCTCCCTGCACAACCGTTGGCCCCGTAACATTACTTTCCCTAAATAGTACTGAACCGAAGACCCTTCATGGCTTGTAGTGGTACAGGTTTTTTTTTTTAATATGAGAAATACTATTGCGTAATAATAATAAAAAAAACATGTTTTAACTAAACATGAATAGAAGAAATAAAAATGATCAAATGAACGCGGTAGTGACAAATCCATTTTACACATCACATGTTTGCTCATAACAGCTGTGTGTACTTAACCTGCCTCTATAACACTCCACTGCACACTCATTACACAATCAAATTTTGCTTATATTATACTTCGACGTCGATTCGATTAAACATGTTTTTTTTTTTCCTAATTTAACATGATGACACATTTTTTAAAAATTTTAAAGTTGCGTCGCTGTTCCACCGAGCGATGTTAGAATAATATAATTTTTAAACTTGTTCTTGTTTTTAGCCCATTTTAATATTATGATTTTATATATATATATATATATATATATATATATATATATATATATATATATATATCATAAAACTCTAATTATTCGGCTAGAAGTTCTGATTAATAGTTGCCCTCTCCGCGAAATCTGTATAATAAAAACAGTTAAAAAATATATGTTTTAATGTTTTACCACATTATTGATTACATACAACGTTAAACCATAGTGAAAATAAAAACAAAAAACAAATAATACAAAATACACCAAAAGAAAACATTACAATAAAGAAATCTACACAACAATTCATCACCCAATATTTTGAAAAAACAAATCCAACAAACGAGAACAATCAGGACAACATGTCACAAACAAACAGAATGGACTTTAACTACTACTACAAAATGACATACATACGTGAACTTACTAACAAAATTAAAGACGTGTTCAAATATTATGACATAACAGAAATTAAACTCGGGCAATATATTAATAAAAAAACTGAGCAGGCACATCACTAATACAAAAGATAAAATAGACCCAATAAACAAGAAAAATGTAATATATAAAATAAATTGTCAAAACTGCTCCAAAATCTACACTGGTGAATCATCCAAGGAATTAGGAACTAGAATTTCACAATAAATTACTAGCTGTAAAAATACAAAAAACGTGAACACAACAGCTTTAGCACATCACAGCATAAGATTACAGCATAAATTCAACTTCAATAATCCGCAGATGTTAGGCACAGAACCAAAAAACACCAATAGAAAATTACTTGAAGCCGTACACATCACAAAAAACAATAGAACAACAGTAAATTATAAAACAAACACTAAACATTTAGGAACACATTATGCTGACATATTAAACAAAATTAAAATTTAATAAAATGAAATTGCAGCTACATAAAACATAAACATTTAACAACGGTGGATATAGCCGACGAAGGAGCAAAGGAAGCCGCCAGAAGCACAGATTCACCTGTTTTAGGATCGATGTTTCTCAACGAATGGAGAAGAAAAATTTCAAAGAAAGTGAACGACAGTTGGAATGCACAGTGGAGATTACTGCCGCGCAATCACCTTCATCTGACCAAAGATGACAATCGAGCTTGGTATCCTCCAAAACACCTGACATCAAAAGAGTGTTCTATAATAAGCAGGCTCAGAATTGGACATACCAAACTGACCCATCTCCACCTACTTCTTGGCTTACATCGACCAACATGTGAGGTATGTGAAAATGCTAATCTGACAGTTGAACACATATTCCAGTGCAAAAAGTTCCGGAAACAGCAAATCGAATTCCAAATTGAAGACAAGGCACCGTACAAGGAAAACACTGGTATTGAAAAAACGCTGAAGTACATCCGAAAAATAAAATTGATAAGTTATATTTAAGAAGAATGATCGTCGCTAATGACCTTGGCAGTCGATGCGACTAACAACGGTACTATAAAAATAAACAATCATATCCAAAGGTCCAATTGTATTCACCATGGAAGACACCCAATAATTGGTCTAAAAGCATGATGTTGCTGTGGATGTTATATACCTTAATTTATGAATTTAGAACCTGACAATGGACCACATTAGATTTAAGGTAATTACAACTTTAATGTAACAACCCAATTCTGACATGTATTGTAACATGCACTATATTTTAACTCAATTTTTTAGCCATGTATCAACAAAAAATGATTGGGATTGTAGTTCTGAAGATGGGAGTAAGTATGTTAACTTGTAAACATGTAATTTGAAAATACAATAAATAAATTCAGTTGTTGTTAATTGGAAGTCATCATTGTCAAATAACAAAGAATAACATGCAACTTCCCAGAAAAAAGAAAAAATAAGATTTTTTACTCTTTATTCTCATTACTGGTCAATAGGTTATAAATAAATTCTACTATAAACAATTTTCATATTATAAAAAATATGGAAATTATAAATAAATTCTTATTTTGTTTGATTCTATTCAATGTTAATAGTCTTCATTATACTATAAATTACAAGTTCTACACTGGAGCTAGTAGGAAGTACTACTGTACTACTATGGCCCTGTTTAGCCGTATCGAAGGTAGAATGGTAGACGAGGCATTTCATTGGCTAAATACGTGACGAATGGGAGTGAAGGTGACAGCTCGTCCATCATACTCGCCGATTGGAGCAGTTAGCAGTGAGCATTCTGTAATGGTTCCTTTGTCGATTGAGTCCACCTCTCCTGCCCCTATCGTTAGCTCTGTCCTGTGCCACAGGTTATGGGACCTATCATGGATGGCTATCTCTAGTACAGTAGTGAATTAATATTTATAGGATATGAGAACCTTCTGTTAATTTTAACTTACAATTTATTTTTATAATAATGTTTAGGTATACGCATTTTTTTTGTATTTATAGTTATTCGATTTTTAATTTTGCTCTTGGTTTCATTTCTCAAAATCTGTTTTATTTTTTATAACAATGTGCTGTATCCGACCACGCATTGCTGTGGCTCATTCTGGTTAAATAAAAAAAGGAGTAGAAAAGAAATTGGATGTTTCTAATATAATTTATGTAACAATACTTGTGAACATGCAATATTCTTTGTTGTACCGTTCTTAGTAAAGATATAGAGATTGTCTGGTTTTTCAACTCTAGACTTTGCAAACATATAATTCTCTATATAAGAAGCAGTCGGTCTCTAAACCTCTCACGAAAAATTACTTAAGGTTTAAAGCATTATATCTCTGCAACAAATCGTCCGATTTCAGTTAATTTGCAGTGGATCAAAAAAGCTTTTAAATAATGATTGGTACAATCAAAAATGTGTACTTTTTGACTTATTCGCAAATATAGTTTTGAACCCATCGTAACTTTTTTTCATACTCTTTTCGGGAAACGATGTTATTTACATAAATTAAAAGGGCTTCAAGTAGAAGACTTTAGCCAAGTTTGATTAAAATCGTTACAGCCGTTCACTAGCGGATCCAGGATTTTATTTTGGGGGGGCTTCAGCCCGAAACCTTTTTTTTCATAAAAATAACGATAATTACTTTGGAAAAACAGAAAGAAACTAACTACCCATATGAAATGGTGTTTAAGTTATTCCTTAAGTACTTTTAAATGTAATTACACGAACAATAATGCATTAAGAGGTATTTTTATAATTTTTTTCCACATAAAACATGGTTATATTTTTCCATTTTTTGTGGGGGGGGGGGGAGACTTCGGCCCGTGCAGCCGTTTAGGCGCTACAGTCTATAGCGACACAGGTTTTTGTGCAGCCATTCCGAAACGAAAGAACGGAGGGTGATTAAATGTACATAAAAACACTCTTGAATGCGATAGAAACAGTATGTCAATATCTCAAAGCGATCGGCGGAGAAGTTTCGGAGATCAGCGGTTTTGAACAAACGAACATTTACGTTTTTATTAATATAGATTTTTTATTTATTTTTATGATGTCTGAAGGCTTATCAGATGCAGCATAACCCAGTTCTTCAGACGGTTAGGACATCTTTGTCCTATAATTAGATTTTTTAATCCTAAAATAGAATTGTTTATTAATTTTTTTGTTACTGGTGATGGGATCTGCTAAATTTTTGTTGATTGCTGCTCTGCTGGATTATTGGCTTGAATTCGGGTTTTTTTTCCTGTACCACTACAAGCCATGAAGGGTCTTGGGTTCAGTTCTATTTAGGGACAGCACTGTTTCTAGGTCAACGGTTGTGCAAGGAGGTGATTTGACCGAAATCACGCTCAACCGCCAGGTTTTCCACCTTAATCAATTATTTAATTAAGGGTACCCATTTTATAGAGGCTGGGTGTGCCTCAGGAGGGTCTCCCGACCCAGGGTCGCCCCATGTAAAATTTTTTTTTCTCTCTTTTTGTTATTTTTACCAGTGAAATTATAAGTATAGTTGAGAAGATTTTATTTTATTTTTTAGTAATTTCCATACTATTATTTAAGTTGTTGTATATATTGTTTGAATCATTATTAAGTTAGTTTTTGGCTAGATATATATATTTTCTTTTTTAACTGTTCATTATTTTTATTCTAAGGGGACATCGTCCCAGAATGAAGTTGATTTTCTATTTCTATTTCTATAACAAATATGGAAATTATAAATAAATTCTTATTTTGTTTTATTCTATTCAATGTTAACAGTCTTCATTATATTGTAATGTCGCCCCATGGCCATTGAAACAGATAAATAAATTATGTGCCATGAGCCGGGATTCGAACCTGGGACGTTTAGCATTGGAAGCTCAGTAACCTACCACTGAGCTACCCCACTCCCTGCTTGAATTCGGATGTAGAATTTTATTGATTTTAAAAAATTAAGTGTTTCTTTGACAGTTTTTTCGCAATCTTAGTGTACAGTGGTTTGGAACTTGATGATTTTAAAATACTATATATAAAATAGTCTAAATATAACCTAATAAAAGATTTTTTTTGTAATTGATTTTTCCTAAGTTGTCCAAGTTTTTTTAACATTCGTATTTCATAATTTTATGTTACATTAATTGTTTTTTAGTATAGTTTCTAATATATCTGCCTGGTATTCTGATAATATGTCCGGTTATCCCACCCCTTTATATTATTATAGACTATATAGATATATTTCAACTATATTATCTGCTGATACACTGTACCTAGGGTGATTTCCCATCTTGACCGAAGCTGAATGAGTTATATAAGTGGAGTTGGCATTGGTCCACCCCACGTGTACTGTTGTATAGAATATATATTTGTAACAGCTCCTTGCTGTCTGCTCTTTGTCCAGCCTCTCTTCGGATCTTAACGGTATAGTAGTTTATAGTTTTACCGATCTGGAGTTTTGTGTATACATGAGAAGTAGAATATTTAACTCAATTGATCTTACACCTGGATTAAGTTAAACTCTTTGAAGTCGAAAACTATGTGCACAAAACAACAGACCGACAGTTTTCTAAAAGTGTATTTAGAATAATCTATACCTACTTCTCATTGGGTAATTGCCAGAAATTCCAATTTTGTTGAATTGGAAGGAATAACTTAAAAGTGTTTCATTTAAATATCTAAACATTGCTCCATAGGAAAGTAGAAAAAAATTACTTAATAAAAAATGATCTGGATAATGTTTCTTGAGAAATGCACTCAACTCATTACTTGTTAAATTAATGAATCATTATGTTCCTTTATATTGTTGAAGTTGGGAGAAGAGAAGGAGTAAGGAAGTGGTCTCCTGATCCCGGACTTAGTCCGGTTGTGGCATATAATTATTCTGTTACAAGAGCCGTGGATTGACACAGTGGTCTATAGATCTTTCTAGGGCACACCCGGCCTCAATGAAGTGGGCACTCTTAATTAATTAGTTAATTAAATAGATAATATGGCGTTAGAGCGTGAAATCAACGAATCTCCTCCTCGCACTACCGCTGACCCAGAACAGTTCTTCGTTGTAGTAGTCCATGTTAGTTTTTAAGAGCTACAAAATTCTTGCTGCCGTTCCCCCTAGTCATTCCTGGAAAGGGACTTCTCCCCTCTGACTTATTAACAGCTTTCAGCTTCCAAGGGGGAAGCTTTGGAAGGGTCCTAGTGATGTAATTATTATCGGCTCCTCTCTTCGTATAAAAAAACATTTAATATATTGCCTTTGCGGTTTCTTTTATTCTTTATTTATTTATAAATACTTTTATCGTAAATATTGAACTTTGGGTTAACGATGTATAAAGATACATAAACATGTGACAACCCATGATGTCCGTGAAAAGAATAAAGAAATGCCTATATATCGTCGGTTTATTAAAAAAAAAAAAAAATGATTGAGCTAAACGTTTTAAGTACCTTTTGCATACTTCGAGCTTGTTCATTTTGCAACAATAAAGTAAATGCATCAAAATGACACGATGTTTTTAATTTAGTGGACAATGTTCTAATTTCACGATTATTCATCAATGTGCCCTGGTGATTTTATTTTCATTTGGTTTTATGAAATGTTACTTATTGACTTTCGATAAACGGACGATGTATTTACATATGACATTGAAATCCATTGGGTCCAGTTTAGTATGTTTTTGACCAACTGTTATGTACAAGGAATCAATATGTTCTGCATCCACAATCAATCAAGTATCTCTAACAGAAGATTGAAATTGGAAAATATATTGGACATATATATTGGACTATACATTTAAAATCGAACCAAACCACAATTGGTTCAATCAGTTCAATACTCTGTGAGAAAGTACTGTTTCTTGATTAACGGTTGGGCAAGAAAGTGGTTTAGCCGAGATCACGCTCATCCGCCATGTTTCCCCCTTAATCAATTGTTTAATCGAGGATACTCACTTTATAGAGGCTGGATATGCCCTGGGAGGGTCTCCCGATCCTAGGGTCGATCCCCGGCCGACGAAATGAAATGAAGAATTAATCTGCCATCAGCCAGATTAGAACCTGAGACCTTCAGCAATGGAAGTCAGCCCCCTACCACTGAGCTACTCTCTTCCCACAAATCACAATTAAGTTGAGATATATCAATATTTTGGGTTAAATAAATTGTAGAATGAGATAAGTAACAAAAAAGAAAATATACTTATTAGAAAGCTTCTAGATACCCAGCGTTCTTAAGTCTAACTTATGAGTTTAGAGTTTATGGTTAACATATGTAATGTGGATTGGTTTTCTTCTGCTAAATGCCGTAGTAAAGGATGTTTGTGTCTAGTGTTAAAAAAAAATAGGTAAAACTTCGATTTATCGACACATTAGTCTAAATAAATGATGGCTTCACTGAAAACATCAATATCTATTTTCCATTCCTTCTCATGTCTCAAATAATACTTACTTCGTTATACTTCAGTATATTATTTATTATAACATCTTTTTTTTATTCTATTCGTTTTTTAATATTCAATATCTCAGAATTAAGTACGGAGAAGTGTCCTATTATTGGTAAAAACACCTTGAATGAAATAGCCTTGTATTCCCTCTGCATTCATAAATGACCCCCTAATTGCGACTAACTATTTGCTAGTTGATCATTGAGGCATTGGGCGAGTTTTGCCATTTGGAGTCACCCTAGTTGGACCATTCCAGTCATTTATAAGAATTTGTTTGAGATATATGTTTAATTTCTCTATTTTCCCTTCATTAAACATTTATGCTGTTGTGTTGTGTTTATCATAATACATATTAAATATAAACACTTTATTTCTCGTCAATGAGTGGATTAGCTATCCCAATGTTGCTTCTGGCAGTGATGTAATTCGACCTTAGAGAAAGAAAGGGAAGTAATGACTTCACAACTCTGCAAATTGCAAATTGGAATGTCCTTGTGGCGCGCGCCAACTCATCCTCCTCTCAAACAGCTGGTCTTTATGTACTATACCGAGATTTTGGAGGCGTTCCAGTGAAGAATGGTTTCTAGGAATTTTGTGTTGCTTTATTATGTGTTCCATATAAATATTGAAAATAAATATTATTCAATATAATGCTGTTTAATTAAAACCAGATAATAACCTGTTATATCAATGTTAATCAATGGTGCTTCTTTTTATTGTTAGGAATAGATGTTATTAATATATGGTACATGCTCTACATAAAGCTAGATTTCCCATTCTTATCTATTTAAGGTATCCACTTTAAGTTCCAAGAACTTGAACTCTTTAAGTGCTGGTAACATGCCCTGATGATGACCCACAAATCTTGGTTAGTAACAACAAAAATCATAAAACTATCTGCATCCTGACCCAACTTTTGTATAAAGAAAAAATTATGGATTTTTCGCCAGAGCGGCTGGCGAGTTTTTGATTATACGGTTTCTATTATACTAAAGCCAGTAATTTGCACTTCTACATTGATGTCCAAAATACAATAATATTCGAATGGTTGTTCTGAAATGCACTATTCCAGGAATTAAATCCATATTCCAGTAAGTAATATTTCCGTAATATCCATCGGTATTCCAGTAATTCTTAGCTTGAACCCTAATTGAATGATTTATGGTACATTTGAGCCAGCACCAGGTATATAGGGAACTCTTGTCGCTGTTCTCGGTATTGAACTTCCGGGTACATTTTGACGTATCTTTATTATGGCATTTGCGGTACCCTTTTTGAATACATGTATATTAATAGCCTTGTCAGCTATCCTATTTCATCTTCATATATTAGAATATATTACCAGATACTAAATGCCGTTTCTGGGGCCAGATTGAAGATTATTGAACATTTATAGTTTGAACCTTAAACTATCGTTAACAGCCTTAACCACGGCATCGATACAACCTTAACTAATTTAAGTAATCTTAATCCCTAATCTCATTTCTGTATTTTATTTTTTCAATTTCAAATGTGGAGGTGTTTCGTTATATCGCATCCTATTTATCTCAAATATATATATTGTAACAATCTGATATTACTTTTAGTGACAAAATATATGCATATATTGTTCTACGGCATATATATTGTTACGACGAAAATCCAAAGTCGAAATGCCCTGCTTACTCCTCTTCAAGATGTGACCCTCAGAACGTGCATTTCCTCCCGGCTTATATTTATAGAAACCAACTGTTGATCTGAATTTGGAACGAATGGAGGCCGTAGAAGGTCAAAGCAGAGGCCGCGACCCGACCTGACCTTACTGCCATTTGAGCTAGCTGCGGTTTACTTCACGATAAGCACCATTCGAGAGCTACATTACAGAATGGATGTGAATACATATATGTATACATGCAAGGCATATATATGTCTATAAAATAAATCAGTAATAATGTATACAATGAAGACATTTCTTTTCTTTTTTTGTCTCCCTTCCTTACCTTAGCTACATAGTCCTGGAGCCAGGGCCCAAAAATCGACCTGATCGCAGGCGAAGGTTTGATTGTAAATTACGAAAGTGTATGTTATTCTGATTAAAAAAAAGCTTGTCTGCCGTTCCAGAGCCGCTGCTTTCAAAAATGGCGGCTGATTTAAAGAATATTAGGCCAGTAATTTGAGGATCGAAACGGGAAATCCATTGCGAAAAATGTGAGAAAAGTTCTTATTTTTTTAACTTGTATATATGAGTTTAGACATGTAAAAAACAAAATTGCTAACGCGGGCCACCTAGGGAAAACTTTTCACAGCCAAAAAAGTCAGATTTTTTCGATATTTTTTGCGTTAGATTTTGCGTCAAACGATTACATAAACATTAAAATTTGGTTAAGCCGTAAGGTATAAAACCACGGTCAACCAAAGCTGAGTTTTACCAAATTTGTCAAAAACTGAGAAAAATTACTATAAATGGCACTGTAACTTGGAAGTGAGTTCCCTAAGAGGAAAACCCCATAGAATCAAAGTTGTTGAGCATCTTTTTTAATCTTCTCAAAATCTCTTATCCGTTTGCCAGGCACCTCGCGGTGCAGTGCACACGCTTTAGCCCATTCGGCCACCCTGCCCCTAAACTATCTTGAGTTGTGAAAGATCCCAATTTTTCTAATATTTCATTCAATTTCATTCAAGTTGATGAAGTATCGAAATAAGAATTCGTCACTTCTCATTGAAATTCCCTGTCGTTTGATACTTCCTCATTTATCAATATTCATTGCTCCGGAAAAGGAATCCATAATGTCGTATGATATATAGTGTGGAATAGTGCAGATTATAATAACAAAAGTTAATGACTAGTATTTTTTTAACGCTTCTCATTTCATTTTGTTTTCTCTTAGCTGTATCCATTAAGAGTTTTCTACTGCTTGGCAAGCGCTTCTTGGTAGGGACACCTATTGTTCGGGACCACTTATTAGACCGGTCGTTATTTAGGGCGAAAAGCGTCTGAAGGACTTGCCATATCCGTTACATAATAGTCTCGGAGGGTTGCTGTTGACAACCCTCGGAGGTTGGTGTGGTATCGATTCTCTCTCTCGAGAGGGTACGCTGGTTCAATACGCAGCCCGTATGAACCAGTGCGTTGTGATGACTATCTTTTCTCCTGGATTAGAGAGCTAACTGCAAAGGATCGAACCGCTGGTAGGACCGCTGCTGACCCCGGATGACCCGTCCCAAGAGGTCGATAGTGTCCCTGTTCGCTGCCACGCTTCTCGGCTATGGTTCCTTGCTTTCTGGCTATGGTTGTCATTTGGAAGACCTACCATTCCTCAACAATCCTTGAAAATTATGCTAGAACTCCCAATTATTCAAAATCACTCTTAATTAGTTCAATTTGTGTTGCTATTATAAAGAATTAAACCAATATAAAAACTGACTAGCTGCTGAGAGTGCTATCTTACCACTCTTCCTGCATCTGCATTACTTTATGACTGATAAATAAAATTTGTTTATCAATATTAGCCTGCATTGGAATATATATGTATATGTATTTTTTTCATTTTTGTTAATAAATATAGACAACAATCTCGCTTACCTCAAATGTTCTAAACATTTATAATGCTACCTCTGCACCAAATCGTCCGATTTCTATGATTTTTTTTTTATTTTTCTAGGAAATTTAGTAAACTTTCAAATAAGCTTAAACTTTCAAAGTCAATATATAAAAATATTTTAAAACCGCTATATCTTTACGACTAGAGCTTTGATTGTGATGTAACTTTTTTTCCCTTCAGGAAATTTTGAAATTCTTGATTATAAAAATCGTCAATAAGCATACAATTTTTGATATACTTGCGAATCTAGCCTTTCATTCTTCCTAATTTTTTTCAATCTTCTTTGGAAATTTTGAAATTCTTGATTATAAAAATCGTCAATAAGTATACAATTTTTGATATACTTGCGAATCTAGCTTTTCATTCCTCCTAATTTTTTTCAATCTTCTTTTCGGTTAAGTAGGTCATAGATAAAGATTCTGAGCAATTTAAAAAAAAAAAAATCAAAATCGCTATACCTTAAGTAATAGGAATTTGATTTCGATGAAATTTCATTTTTTGGAAAATTTAAATACCTTTGAAACATCTTATCACCATATAAACTAAAAAGTGTATACTTTTTGAGTTATTCAGAATCTAATTTTATCATCCCTCGTAAATTCTTTTCCAGCTTCTTTTCGTTGAAGTATGTTATATAAGATAAATTTCGAGAAGAAGACATTAGCCATTTTTCATTAAAATCGTTGCATGCGTTCATTACACTGGTTTTGCGGCCTTGTTGATGGTTTTTGCGGATACTAATGTTGAGTTTCGAGGGTCATCCTCAAGTGACCTCTGACATTGATACCTAATCTCAAAACAACCGGCTGTGTAGTCTCCGGCGGCAGTAGTCAGCACACAAGAAAAAAAAAAAAAATACGGTGGACGGCGGGAAGTTGATATAAGTTGCTCCGGTTGATATAGTATTTATAGATTGAATTTAAGTTTTTTTAAACCAATAAATTAAAATTGTTACATGATACATCTTTAGCTATGGACTGATTATCTGAGTGATATGTTTTTGAAAAAAAAAAAAAAAAATGGAATTGAAGGAACTGTAAAACGACTGGTCCTTAGTGATCTGGTGTAGTATGGCATTGTAATTCCTGGCCATTGAAATAGCCTTTGTCCATTGGACGCGCTCTCTTGTAGTCTTTGTAGTCAATTAGATCCTCAAAGGTCCTCCGGATGTCCTCCAGCAGAACAGTATCGGTCCTTAATAGCTTCGTCCTTAATATTTATTCAAAAGAAAACTCATTAACCTTCTTCTATTTTCTAGGAAAATCTCGATATTAATTTTCTCTTAACTGTTCATTTTCGCCTATACCAAGAACATACCATAATGATTTATAATTACCAAAATAAAAATTAAATTTGTCGTAGCCTAATGAAATATTTTAAACAGTTCCTTTTCAGCTGAAAATGATTCTGAATTATATTATTCATTTATTTTTGTTTCTATTCAAATTCGAATTACATTATCTCTTTAATATCGGTACCGCAGGTGTAAAAGGTCTGTTTTCAGATTAACGAGATTGTTGAAGATAGGACAGAATGTGATTTTTCATTGAAAATAACTTTTATTTGACATTTTATTGAAATGAACTGTCTTTACAATGTATTTAAATAAATTAAAATAATAAAAAAAAATTAGATTTTAATGGACCTTCCACCCCTATCACCTTTATTTTATTTTATTTTGTTACTGTTTATTGAATGATAATACAATCTGCCTCATTTTGAAGGGCTGCAAGGATTCATTTATACAATATATGCAAACAACAGGAAAATAAATGTGTATCATGAATAAACAAATAAATCCAAAAATAAAACTAAAAATTATAAATAAAAAAGTAATCTGCCGTTTTAATCTTCGAGAAGGAAAGGATTATGGAGATGGTCAGAGCTGGATCGCCATTGATTAGGATAATGAATAAAATTCTTGTGAAAGTTTGTAAATCTGGATGGAATGACATCAAGGACCTATGGGATGTCAAGGTAATGGTGTAAGGTCTAAGTACTTTGGACAGGAAGAAAACTCCAGTTAAAGTTCCAATATTTTACAGGTTACCACAAATTTAGATTACTGCTTTTAACGCATCACGTAATATGTCATGGTATATTACGAAACACGATGAATAATTCAGATATGACTAGGTAAATAAAAATGTCAAATAAAAAAATTCAAGTAATAACCTAAATGATATCTAATGTTGGATATTTAAATTCAATTCATAACATAAAGAACTATTTTTGTTTTGAAATTAAAAATCCTAATGACTCGAAGCAGAAGAAAAAAATTAATTTGGTATATAAAATATATACCTCGAAACAGTATTTGGTTGAATGAAATTTTCACATTTCAGGAAAACTAGGAGATTATTTCTTTTAAATTTGATTTTCAGCTTCCTCAAGTAAATGTAGAAATCGAAAATAGCCGTTTTATTAACCTACTGTCTGATATAACATATTAAGATCTAACGAACCGTACAAAAAACAGAAGTAAAATATATTTCGTTGACATCCGACCTTTTGCCTTGACAACTAACGCAGTAAAACATAAAAAATTACAGCAGTAACATGCCTTTAATTCACAAGCGTCATTTACCGTGGTATATGGAAGAAATGTGAACAGACTTTTCGCTTTAATAACCGAAATCATATAATATTATATGAAAAACAGTAAAACATTCACTTTTAAGATGAAGTGACCATAGGACCTTTTAATGTTGAGGTATCCATATGATGATTTCATCCAAACACTTACATGAACCGTTATGCCTCGCGTGCCAACAATTGTTTAAGAACTCTCTAACTGTTGAACGATTATATCTCGTATGTGCTTAGTTAATGGGTCATTTTCTCAGAGCGTGTCCTAATAATATTATCAAAATAAATTTATGATTGCTTTTTGATCTTTATTGTTAAGTGTTGCTTGTCAGCCTCACCAGAAGAATGTGCTTATTTAACAAAAAAAAAAAATTAACCAAACGTCAAGTTGAGCGAATGCCATATTATAACGCTCCAGATATATTCCATATAGATATAATAGATAGATAAAAATAATGAAAGCATTTTGAGAAGAAATTAAGTTTTTGAATTTTTTGTTCGATTACAATAGTTCATTATTTAAAATAATAAACCAAAAATATTTAAAAATCGCTATATCCTTACTAATAGGGATTTGATTTCGATGAAACATTCTTCATTTTTTGGGAAATTTAAATACCTTTGAAACATTTTATAACAATATCAACTAAAAAGTGTATACTTTTTGAGTTATTCGGAATCTAATTTTACCATCCCTCGTAACTTTTTTTCTAGCTTCGTTATTTGAAATATGTTATATAGATAAATTTAAAGGGCATCAAGAAGAAGACTTTATCGAAGTTACATTAAAATCGGTACATTCGTTTAGGCGCTACAGTCCATAGCAACGCAGGTTTTTCGGTTGCCATCTTGGAAGGAAATGGCAAGGCGAATTGAAATGTCGATGAAGGAGGGTTATCTGAGAATTCGGAAAGATTTGGTCATAAAAAAATGAACGAATGACTTTTCAACATTTCAAACTTTTTTTTTCTACATTTCAAGTATTTAATCAAATTAATTACTATCGTCAATTACAGATTGTGTTATATTTATTGGGATATTATTTTTAAATGCAAAATTATTGATGTGTATTGGAAATATCCTGTGGGCAGCGTTTGATCCTTTTATGTGAAAGTGTTCCTAATTATAATAAAAAAAATAAATACTGAAAACATAATGAGTCAAAATGCCAATAATTTTTTTCTGATGCTTTGACATATCTAAACTAAGCTAATTTGGTATAAACATATAATTTGGTTGAAGACTTGATTTGCCGTGAACTTCTTGGTATGTTTATTAGGTTATAATTATGAATTATGAGATTTATTAGGAGGTGATGTGGTCAACATCCTCATTCAATCGCCATTTCTATTACATGTCAAAATGATGGGTCTCTTTATATTGTTGGTTTTGCCTTACCCATCGAACCTTTGCATTAGGTAAGCCGTTTGCATGAAGGATCAAACAGGCTCTCTCTGTAAATTAGTTATTCTGCCAGTAGCATTTAATATATTAGTACTGTACTGGAATGGATTTGATGTAATTCGCTGCCTTCACATGGAGTGCCGTAGATAGTTTCCATATTGTTGTGATTATTCCGCTAATGCTACGTTCTAGTTGGCAGGGGAGACAGGAGAGGTTCGTTGTAGAGCATTAGTCATAGCCCGCGGTTGCCATTCCTCGTTCAAGGGCCACTTTGGAAGTACAGGACTCATTAGTGTTTGCAGGGCGTTGTGGCCCTCACATATAAACCTAAGTATATATATCTTGTTCCTCTGTGTAAACCAATGTTAACGGATTTGTCTTGTTTTGAGGTCTTAATGGTCCCAGCATGTCAAGGTTTAAACTTAAACATTTTCGAATTCGTGGCGAATCTACAGGTCGATTTTAGAACAGCTCTCCTGCATAATAGAAATGGTTAGGAAGGAGGTTATTTAAAATTGAACTTGGTTTTAAAGGAAGGAGATGGTCCGGGGTGGCGGTCATAAATAGGCTAAATAGCTGCAAAACTATTTTATTAAATGCCAACGTTTCGACCCGGCTTTGCAAGTCTTCTTCAGGGCTAGAACGGACAAGATACAAAAATATAGAGAATTGTGGAAGTTACATAATATTTAGACAAAAAATTATAAACAATGTGAATA